AAGCAATTCTCCTGTCTCAGCCTCCTAAGTAGCTGGGATTACAGGCAGGCACCACCATGCCTGGCTCATTTTTGTATTCTTAGTAGAGACGGGGTTTCACCGTATTGGTCAGGCTGGCCTCGAACTCCTGATCTCAGGTGATCCACCTGCCTCAGCCTCCCAAAGTGCTAGGATTACAGGTGTGAGCCACCCACCAGGAGCTCCTGTTACTTTGTAACATGATCTTGCCTTTCAAACTGGTTGATTGACTTCTCTCTTGCTTTTCTCACTTTTAAGAATGCTACTCAGTTAGCTTCATTCCGGTTGTGTCTGGATTGTCAAATAGCTTCTATCTTCTCTAATTACCTGTCCTTTAAGTCTTAACTCAGTTTCTACCTTATTCATGAATTCATCCCCAACTGCTCTGACCTGCAGCATTCTTTCTGTTCTCTGAAATTTCTACAATTAACATTTAAAATCATATTATTACTAAATTCATCTCTACTAAAGTATAAATATTATAAATACATTGCTAGACACTTAGTTTTTTGCTCTCAATAGATGGTGGATTACTGTATATTAAGGCTTTTTAACTTGACCTTTTGGTTTGGTTTTGTTTATTTAAATTAAACACTTTACGTGAAGTTATAAAACTGTTGATATATTACAAAATTCCTAATATTGGATACTTCAGTAATATTTAATATCAAATCTTATATATGATTAATTAAACTTTATAATCCCATTATAAAATGTATTTAAATATTATTGTTAATAAGGTAATGTATATACTTTTAACATAAAAGAAACCAAGTGGTAAAATATTTCATAGTAGAGTTTACAAAATTAGTCCAGTGATTCCTAAAATGTGTTCTGAGGACTCCTGGATCTTGAGACTCTTTCAAAGGGTACACGAAGTAAAAACTATTTTTATAATAGTACCAAGATGTTATTTGCCTTTTTTACTGTGTTGGCATTTGCAGTGGTAGTGCAAAAAATAGAGGATAAAACTGCTGGCACCTTTAAGATGAATGAAGGTAGTAGCACCCAACTGTATTAGTAATAATTGTATTCATCATTGTTAGGCACTTGCAGTTAAAAAAAAAAGCAGTTTCCCCTAAAAAAAAAAAATCCTCGATTAAAACAGTAAAATTCATTTTAACTGATTTCCATCCTTGAGTAACACATCATTTTAATATTCTGTGAGAACTTCGAAGTATGCGTAAAACATTTCTGCTATATACCAAAATAGATGATAGCTCTAAGGAATAGCTCTAAGGAAGAGAACCTGTGCTTTGAGTTGTGTGTTGAACTTAGTACTTTTTTAATGGAACACCATTTTACAACTAGCAACAACAAGAAAACAATGATTGTTCAGACTTGGGTACTTAGCCGACATTTTCTTGAAAATGAATGGAGTCTGTCAATTCAAGGAAAACTACTGCCAGCTATTTGTTGCTAATGATAAAATTTTAGCTTTCAAGTGATTATTAAAATCCGGGAAAACTTGTATTTACTACCTTCAGCTTGACAACCCCTCAACACAGACTTTTCCGATAAGATTGACAATGATAGCTTTTTATATTGTGTAATGAAATGTGACATCTGGAAGATCTGCATAATTCAGTGAATCAATATTTTTCAAAAGATCAGTGTATGATTTTTAAAAATTATTTATGGGTAAAAGATTTATCCAAAATGTAAGATACCAATGGACTGTAATGTAACGGTACAAAAAAGTCATTGTTACTGTTTTAGATACTACATTGCCGCTAATCTTGAAGAAACTGTTGAGTTTTTGATACAGTATCAAATATGAATATTCACTGTTATCTGAGTAAGATATTTTAAAACATTTCT